ACTGACTAAGCACAATAAATCACTACGAACATAAATCGTACACGCCCCCCGGAAAGTTTACTGTATGACTGACTGACTGACTGTTTCGTTTGAATTTTCCCCACCATCACAATACTGTGAAGTTTCTTCAAAAACGGCATGTTTAGCAATAACACAGCTAAATATTTTAGTCAAAGAGCAAATGAATATAACTACGCCATTCTACGATGAAATCTCTAAGTATTCCCGGTCAATTTTAGCAAATATTTCAAGCACTAAACAGTGAAAAGGCATCCCAAATTTCGTTAAAATTGGGGACGCCAATTTCGTAGCTACAAATGTAAAAAAATACAAAACAAAGACGAAAAACATTTACCCTGAATACTTTGTCGTGGCTTAGGCATGTTTTTAAAACAATTAGACCAGTATATGCTTCAATATTACTCTTTTAAAGCGGAAAGTATAGCGAAACAACAAAAATGCCGAGAACTTTGCAATACGCGTCAGCTACAGTCCTATCCATTTATTTTATTATCCATGGTGTAACATACATGCACTCAACAAGACGCCCGCTCGGCGTTAACCCCGGGTCGGTGGATAGGGCATCGTCTGGTAAACATGCAAAAATCGTGTAAATTTAGTGATATGTTTATTGATTTAAATGATAGTTTAATAGTTCACTGGTACTGTATAAATGGTGAATCAGTCAATCAAAGCTCCGTTTTAACATTTTATTGATAATAGTTAAATACAGGAACAATTTAGAGAATTTACTGACGCAATTATTTAACTGTATTTATTCATTATTTGGGATATCTTGCGGACGAGTGAATGACATACATAGCTACTTCACTACTTCATCTTGTATTTAGTAACACTAACAAAAAATATTATCAGTCTATTTGTTGATTGCACATAGCAGAACAACAATCACTTTAGATATTTTTAAAATATATCAAAGTACCGAAAATATAATTAGGTGCATACAGGGTGTTAGCAAGAAGTAAAAAAATCCGCGTTTACCTGAAATTGGGAAATTTATTTTAGCCTGAAGCCGGGCATTTCTTTGTGGGTCTGGGGGCATGCGGTTGCCCCCTCTCGACTTTTAAAATATTTTGTGTCTTTGAAATGGCATTTCCCGCATTTTGGGAGTAATTGTGAGCAAATGTAGTTATAAACATGTTTTTAATGGCGTATTAACAACATATTGACGGCAAGATACGGTACTGCATGGTCTATTATCAGATGTAAAAAAATAATTGAATTTCTATAACTATTTTTTGGCTGACCCAAATTGGGAAATTGCGACCTCAAGGTATAATTGGGAAGTTTTGACTGTAACTAACACCCTGGCATAAAACTGATCCATCATTACTCATTAGTAATAGTTGTACCACAGTCGAAGAATGTAATGAGTGGACAGTTGGCAAAATTGTTGTCTACCAGGTACAGTAAGAACCATCCATGAAATGCTTAGCAGTATCAAACAAGTGAAAGTTGGCCGCGGTATTCCCATGCTATGCATACGAAGTATTATACATTATATCAACATATACTCGAGAATAGTTATCCAGCTAAACATGTATGTCAAAATTATCACATCTTCTGGTTTTAAATCAACAATTTTGACGGATTTCGTGCAAGGACAGCTCCGGGTTCCGTTTCGCTTTGGTCGATGCATGAAATTTCCCTGAACTACACTTATTTACCGGAAGTTGTCGTCTCCTCCGCAGGCTCTTCGACTACGAGCGCGGCTCGACACAAAATGGGGAAAAAATTAGGAGCCGAATTTATGACCTCGATGTCGTAATGACCCGAGGTAATAAAATAAGAATTATAAAATCTATTTTATAAGTTCTGGTTTCAAATGTTTTCTAAAACGTGCCTGCAAGTATATATAGTTATCCCTGAAATGTGCCTGCGACCGTAGGTCCCAGCGGTCACCACTTTAATGATCCCTGGGAGTGATTATGATCAAATTAACATCATTCAGTTTACCTTGGCTATATCCAGTCCCCCAATGAGCTCTCCATTGACGTACAGTTGAGGAAATGTTGGCCAGTTTGAATATTTTTTGATACCTTGACGTACCTGAAAAATTCCACAAACTGGTTTTGGCCTTTATCTATTGGGTGCAAGAACCTATTGACACCTTGATTTTTACACAGCAAAAGACTTAAAGCCCAGGGGCCGGTTGTTCAACAGCCATTTAGCTTAATCCTAGGATAGAAATAGAAAAATACAAAATATTTCTCCAGAAATGTTGTCTGGATCAATAAAAGTTCCCGATTTTCTGAATTTTTTAAAACAAAACGACCTGAAGAATTTTGCAAACCAAAACAGCGAGTTAATAAGGTTAAATTTTAACCCAGAGTTAAACAAATTTTGCGCTAGACGAGCAATAAAAGCGACAAACAAATCTTAAGATAAAGACATTTCGACATTACCTCTTCGTCTTTCAATATGTCAAAACTTGAGAATTTCACACTAGGAAACGAAATAGATCAATTGCAATTTATTTACATAACCACAGTTACTGTATTCAATAGTTTCAGAAGCGGTTTCATGCAACGTTTGAACTTTTGAAAAAGGCGAAAAAACCAAAGGGTCAGGACCTCAAGGCCCATTGTATTTTAAGAAAGCCATTATTTTGATGAAAGGAAAAAAGGTTTGAAACAAATTTGGAGTACATTCAAGTAGTTTGAGGAAACTAACCTTGGATAGTTTTCAAGAAGCTGGCACATCTGTCGGCTAAAACCACACCTTGGCTCCTATATACAGAGCAAAATAATTTGAGCCTGTTATTCAAATGTGAGCTCTGGAAGAATGATTTTTCTGCACAGGATAAAATTACACAAGGGAATGCAAGGCAATATAAGCGAATGGGAAACAAGGCAAAGAGTATGGCAATACAGTGTATTAATTTGGAAGAAAAAGCTAAAATAACAAAGTAACTAATATTACATTGTCGCCAATATTACAGTTTGGTACTCCCAGGTTACATTTGACGTCACATACACTCGGGGGTCTGTGCCAAGGGTAAATAACGGCTTTTATATTGTTTATATTTGGCTTTTATAATAGTCGGAGAACTCATTTGCATGAGATGTGTCGACAGCCATTTTGTTTCTTTGTTGTTTTAGTTGACCACTTGAGTAAACTATATGCTAAAGCATCACGTGATTGAAACCCAAGAATTGTACACGTTTTGTTCTCCACCTGTACGGCGCTTATGTACAGTAAAGACGTCTGGGTCCTTGGCGGTATTTTTGCGGTGCATTATTTCTTTATAAACCAACCTGCGCGGATCCTTTCATGACGAGTAGTACTGGTGCAGAATTGATAAGCTTGTGCAGCCTAAATAAAATGATTGGTTTTATGAATAACAGATTTAGTTTTGTTTGCTCAAAACCCCGAGTCTCACCCAGGGCCGCCAAGAGGGTGCGCGGGCAATCCAAGGGGGACCCTATGACGTACGTCCTAATTGTAAATGGGAAGAAGCGGTGTTTTACAATATATTACACCTTATTCCATATTATCTGACAATATAACGCAGCTAGGATTTACATCCTTTTGAGCTGGGGACCCGGGGGTAAAGTGTCCCCCTATCAGCCGCCCTGGGCCCACCCTTCGCTCACATGGGGCCTAAGCCAGTAATGCTAAAGTCACTAAAGTAAATAGACTACTTTCATGATACAGACAGCTTTAATATAAGCTTTCTTGGTCTCATTTATGTGATTGTAATTGAATGGAATTTTAGAACGCGAACGAGGCCAAGAAGGCCGCATATGTAACTCAATAACAGTACTGAGATAAATTATTGGGCTATTTATTGTTGCCAGCACACCAGTTAAAATTATTAACATGCTCAGTTCCACGTGCTTTTGATAGGACGTTTGTCAGCCCAAAGGAAAAATATTGCGAGAGTGAAGAAAAAATACATTTACTTTTAATTTTTAATTTTTAAAAGTCTTACATACGTCAGACAATTTTACTTTACAGTATGTTAAAAAAACCATCACTTACCTGTCGTTTAAATCTTCTACTTTTGCCTCTGCTAACATTGTCTGTAATTCACCGCTTTCTGAGAGTTCCTATAACAAAATATTGATGGTTTTATGGTTTATTTCTTTTATGGCAATTACGTAAACTACCATCACGAATATTGACACTACATACTAGATCAATATATTGTCCATACACTACAGTATCTCAGTATACCTTACTACTTGATCAACATTTTGTACCTTCACAATGTCTACTCCTCCAACTAATTCTCCGTTAACATAAAACTGGGGAAACGTTGGCCAATTTGAGTACGTCTTCAAACCTGTGTGACAAATGATTTAAGACTAGTGTTAATTAAACAATACTATAGACATTCTAATGTAACAACTAACTTTAGTTGATAGCCCTCGAAGGAGGTTAACACATTATGAGGGGGTTAACACATTATGAGGGGTGCTACTAATTTAGTTTAATAATTTTATGGTACATTTTTGATGGTGTGAAGCTGATTTGAAAACTCAGTTCAACCATTTTTTAAATGTAGGAAACAAGAATTATTACTGCAGTACTTATGAAGGAACAATTTTCTGACCCTTACCTTGTCTGACTTCATTGTCAGTTAAAATATCGAATGAACCAAATTTATATCCAGTCAGAACTTGTAAAATCTGTTTACTAAATCCTGAATAGAAATAAAATAATAATTATACTCTAATTGGAGTTAGTTATCAGTGCCTTTCTTTTAAGTTAGTTATCAGTGCCTTTTTTCTCTCCAAACCAAAGACAACTGGTTGGATAGTTTGAAAGTGTTACAATTTGCATAGGATGACCAGTTGCTAGCTTCGCCACTGGGTTTAAGGCGTTTCATTTACTGATTTCGTATAGCAAAGCCACTGTACTGCACGAGTATGATATACAGTAAAACAGATATACTGTACAGTCAGATATACTGTAGTTGCAATTTATGTAAATATTATTGCTAAAAGTCAAGGGCAGATTAATTATTAAGGCCCATAAGTTTGATATTGGTGTCCAAAATGCCATAAATAATAAGAATTTGAGTACGAATCTGAGCTTTTCTGACACTCCCCAGAACATCCACCTACATATGCAAAAGATGACATTTACTATATGTACAGTGCTACAGTACATGGCACTCACCACATCGAGGCTGTTCTGGAGTTCCTTTCATGAACAACATATTTGGTGAACTGTTTATTAATCTTTTCAATTTCTCATTAAGACTCTATGAATTAAAAAGCCACATGATCAAAGTGAGGTTGGAGTAAGGGTTAGGGAATGATTTTTGCATCATATATGGTGCACTTACTTCTTTTTTGTCACTTCCTATGTTTGTCACTGGTGCAACAAACGTACTTGCATGGTGTGTAACTTTCTTCGTCAGTTCAGGAGCATTTGCCCCTTGAAGTCTGTCTATTTCTTTTTCATTCTACAAATGTATAAACTCATTTACAGCATACACACTATACCCTCTCATTAATTTAATAAACAGTAAAGATCATTGGAACAAAACAATGTAATATCATGATTTTACTCATTCCTTTCTCGTCATTAACAGGTCAATTATAGAGTTCCAGTGCTCCCCCTTTGACAAGTAAAATTGTCTAGCATTAGACAGAGTAAATAATAAAAGTTGGGTACATTAAGGAATAATACAACTTGATGGCTGAGTTCAATATGTTAAGGCAAGTTAGACTAATATTGCTTAATTCATCTGCATGATATTTGTTGCCACCCTCAGCATGACATGGCAATACGTCAGCAATCCTGTTCAATCAATTGTACCGTAATGGCTCCATCTCTACTGTACATGTACTGTACCTACTGGTCTCTAATCTGATAATATCTTAACAATACGATGGTTGTAAACCCATTAAGTTGTACTTCGCCCCACTTTCTTATTTCACTCTGTCTAATGTCAAATAATCTTACTCACCCAGGGGAGAGCTGTGCTCAATGAGTTAACATACTTTGGCAAAATATAATTATCATACCTTGAAAAAAAGTATTGTTGGTACGGAGGCAATGTTGAACTTCTCAGATAAACTGACAATATCCTCTGCTTCAATCTAGCAAATATATTTTATATGAGCTACATCAAAGAATTTTTATTTTAAAAAACGTTATTACTTGTACTGCAGACATTCGGGGACCACAGGAAATTTTTCAAAAATTACATTCAAAAACCGCCTCAAACTAGTCCAAACTTTATGAAAATTGTCAAAAACCTTTCCTCTCATCAAAAAATTAGTTTCGATAAAAAAACCCATGTTTTAAAAAATTTTGGTCAAATGCAAAGGAAGGACCACAGGTACTCTAGGAGTAGCAAAGGGGGATCACAGGAAATTTTTTTAAAAATCAAAAACTGCCCCAAATTATTCTAAACTTTCTTAAAAGTGTCGAAAACCTTTTCTTTCCTCAAAACAATTACTTTCGATCAATAAAAACATGTTTTAAAATTTTTTGGTAAAATGCAACTAGGGGAGAAAATTTTTTAAAACACAGGAATTTTTTTAAAAATTCAGAAAATGCCCAAGCTATTCTAATTAGTTTCTTAAAAGTTTTTCCTTATGGTGGGGGAGGGGGGGGAGAATTCAATTCAATTCAATTCTTCACCCTACAGTACTTCTCCCGTTGTCTCCACTACTGGTTTTTCATAAATAAATCATAATAATGCACATACTTGTAAAAATTTCACATGTACATTATCTTTGACAAGTTCATCAATGACTTCGGCCATTTGTTTGCACTGAGGTGCCCAGTTTGCAGTAAAATGCGCCACAACAAGACCACTAAATAAACATGAAATAAAAAGGGAATGATGTATCAAAAATACAATATATACAGAGCTCAACAAAGGCCATGAGGAAAATTTTGAAATATATTTCTGGAAATGTTTGCAATTTCCAGCCATGGAGACTTGCCTCACAATCATAACTGATGAAAAGGCATAACTGATGAAAAGGCAAAACAAATGGTCTGATAGCAAAGCTATGAGCTATATCACTGAATCATGAATTTATCATGAATCATAAAGTAAATACAGCACAAATTTGGCAACTGATTTAGACGTTGCAGGGCTGCAAATTACTGATGGACATCAGACAATGTCCAACTAAATTTGGCAAATGTCCGAGGCTCCGAGCAAAAGTAATTCTGATCGGACATTGGTCAGATAAAAAAAAAATTGTCACATAATTATACATTTTTTTGAGCTGTGACAAAATCCGATTGCAAATTCACTGAATTTGCATTTTGCAAAAAAATTTACGAGGCATTCTAGCATTTTACTTAACGTTGTGGCGGAATAGCTATACATACTTGTCTCGTGACTTATATATATCTTGTGACGTATATATACATATATATATATATATATATATATATATATATATAGCTTAAGATTTTGGTTTACGAAACACAAACAGTGCTCAATACCATATAGATAGAGCGTAATATAGTTTTTCGTTTTACCTCAAATGATTCCTATACGGATGAAACAGACTGTTGTGGTTATATATATATATATATATATATATATATATATATATATATATATATATATATATATATATATATATATATATATATATATATATATATATACTATATATATAATATATATATATATATATATATATATATA